ATAAAAAGACATGAAATAATTGTTAACCAAAAAAAAAAAAATCTCGTTGATGGAGGATCTGCGGTGAACCTTCTGCCTCGGAGGGCCTTAAATTTATTAGGGGTTCGAATTTCACAACTTCGCCCAAGTCGTTTGGTCATTCAAGGATTTAATCAGAATGAGCAACGCCCAATGGGGAAAATTGAATTACAAACCAAGTTTGGGGATATTGAAGAAAGCACTGAGTTCTTGGTCATTGATGTAGACACCTCTTACAATGCTTTGCTTGGGAGACCATGGATGCATAATCATCATGCAGTGCCATCAACTTATCACCAATGTATTAAGTACCCATTGCCTTCACCTAAAAAAGAGGGGACAATTGTGGCTGACAATGATCCATTTGGAGAAGTAGAGGCCTACTATGCTGATGCTCGCTTCTATACAAAGACTTCACAAAGAAAGGGAAAAGATGTGAAGAAATCTGAAGATACTCCGAATGTCAAAGACGCTCTAGAGTCTATTCCAGTTTCAACAAAAAGGACTTTTCGATATGTGCCAAAGTCCGAAAGGAAACTGGGGGCAAAGGCTCTAGCCCCAATAAATCCAATTTTGGATCTCAAGGGTGAGTTCACGTTGCCATTAAGGAAGACAGAATGCACCTATGTAGAGAAATATAATAAGATTATGGTCCCTTCTAAAGGAAAAGGGTCGAAACCCATCATATTCCACTCGCTTGGAGATGTTGAACAAAAAGTGAAAGTTGAACAAATGCCAGAAGAAAACATCTCGAGTTTTGAGAAGCCTACCTTCAGTGCAGAAATCACACAGATGTTGGTAAAAGTTGGTTTAGATCCTGAAAAAATACCAGGAACAATGACACCCTTTGACTTTGCATTAACACCTTCACAGAGGCAGGCTATCCAGCAAGGCGGTATTATCACCGCTAGGACAGAGGGGTTAGGCTATCAGGGGAATGAGGAAAAATTTCCAGTAAACATGACTATCACTCAAGATGTGTTGGAAGATGTTGACCAAGATGAAGCTCAACCTGCACCAACAGAATTTGAAGCAGGAGGCCAAGCCACCGTGGATGACCTTTGTGAAGTAAATCTGGGTGATGAAGGAGAAAACAAACCAACCTTCATTAGTGCAAATTTAAAGGAAGAAGAAGCTCGGCAATATATTTCCTTTTATATTTGCATGGAACTACAGTGAGATGCCTGGTCTTAATCCAGAGATTGCAGTCCATATGCTTGCAATTCACCCTGAGAAACGACTAGTTAAACAGCCTCAAAAGCGAACTCGACCAGAGCTTACAGCCCAAATTGAAGCCGAAGTTGACAAGCTTATCAATGCAGGATTCATCAGAGAAGTCAAATATCCAACCTGGCTAGCAAACATAGTGCCAGTCAAGAAAAAGAATGGTCAAATCAGGGTTTGCATTGATTTCCGTGATCTCAATGAGGCTTGTCCTAAAGATGACTTTCCTTTGCCCATCACTGAACTTCTTGTAGATGCAACTACTGGGTATGAAACCTTGTCTTTTATGGATGGATACTCAGGATACAATCAAATCCGAATGGCACCTGAAGATGAAGAAATGACTGCATTCAGGACTCCGAGAGGAGTCTTTTGCTATAAGGTAATGCCTTTTGGCCTGAAAAATGCTGGGGCCACGTATCAAAGGGCGATGACTATAATTTTTGGTGATATGCTCCATGACACCATCGAATGCTATGTTGATGATCTTGTCGTCAAGACAAAGGAAAAGGAAAACCATGTGGAAGATTTGAGAAAAATCTTCGAACGTTTGAGGAGGTACAAACTCAAGATGAACCCACTAAAATGTGCATTTGGAGTTTCATCAGGAAAATTTCTTGGGTTTGTGGTTCGAAACAAAGGGATTGAAATTGACCCTACCAAGATTAAAGGTATTGGCGAAATGCCTCCTCCACGAAATTTAAGGGAATTGAAGGGGCTTCAAGGGAGATTGGCCTATATCAGAAGATTTATTTCTAACTTGGCTGGTCGATGTTTGCCGTTCTCAAGATTGATGAAAAAGGGTGTTCCATTTGAATGGGATCAGCAATGCCAAAATGCTTTTAATAGTATTAAGGAGTATCTTTTGAAGCCTCCAGTACTTATGAGCCCAATAAAAGGAAAACCACTTTTGTTGTACATAACAGCCTTGGATGGTTCATTAGGGGCATTGTTGGCACAACATAATGAGCATGGGAAAGAAAATGCCTTGTATTACTTGAGTCGTACTTTGGTTGGGGCAGAGGTCAATTACTCCCCTACCGAAAAGACATGTCTTGCCTTGGTGTTCGCCTTGCAAAAACTAAAGCACTATGTCTCGGAACACGAAGTCAAGTTGATATCAAGAGCAGATCCCTTGAAATATATACTTTCACGGCCCATACTTTCAGGGAAAATTGCAAAGTGGGCTGTAATTCTCCAACAATTCACAATTGAATATGTTCCCCAAAAAGTTGTAAAGGGGCAGGCTCTAGCAGATTTTTTGGCAGCACATCCTATACCTGATGACTCACCTCTAGTAACTGATTTACCAGATGAAGAGGTTATGCAAGTAGAAATTCAGAAAGGATGGGAGATGTATTTTGATGGAGCTTCAAGGAGTCCAGATGGCAAAAAGCAAGAAAATCCTAAAAACAATAAAGCTGGAATTGGAATTGTGTTTGTGACTCCAGACAATGCTATAATCACCCATTCTTTCGCCTTAAGTGAAGGATGCTCCAATAATGAGGCAGAATATGAAGCTGTAATTGCTGGATTAGAATTGGCATTACAAATTCCTATTGAAGAACTCTCAATTTATGGAGATTCGGAACTGGTGGTAAAGCAACTCCGTGGAGAATACATGTTAAGAAAACAAGTCTCATCCCGTATCATGAAAGGGCTGATCAATTGCTTTCGCAATTCAGAAAAACACATATTTTCCATGTGAAGAGAAGAACAAATGCTCGAGCTGATTCACTTGCAAGTTTGGCTGCATCACTCACCCTACCAGATAGCAAAACAATTACTATCACGGTAGGTGAAAGAAGGGTGTTACAACCTTTAAAAGAGGTTTCCGACTTGGTTCCAATCTTGGTTGTCACCACGAAAGGAGAAAACGAAGAGCTTGTAAACCAAACAAGTTTAACTTACCTCCAACATGGTAGGCTACCTGAAGATAAAGTAAAAAGAATTGAAGTGAGACGCAGGGCTACCAAATTCGTCCTGTGGAAAGATGGAACGTTATACAAAAGGTCTTTGGATGGAATGTACATGCGGTGTATAGCCAAGGAGCGTATTCAAGAGATAATGGAAGAAATACATGCAGGTGTATGTGGGGCACACCAAAGCGGTCCTAAATTACATATGCAGCTAAAACGGTTGGGATACTATTGGCCGACTATGATTGCAAATTGCATAGATTATGCTCGAAGATGCCAAGTCTGCCAATTCCATGGGAACTTTCTCCACCAACCCCCAGAGCCTTTACATTTAACAACTTGTTCTTGGCCATTTGCAGCATGGGGTATGGACATTATTGGTCCTTTTGTACCTCCATCTTC